TTCAAACAAAAAAAACAATGATCCTTTCCAAGACACTGTCCTAGACCTGTGTATCCTTGTGTAAGTGAAATAACAAAGAATTCAAGCTGTTTTCCATGGAATGGCAGCTGTTTTCCATGGGTGGCAGAATGACTATTACCAATTTAGCTGCAAAATGATCAATAGTTCCTGCAAATATCTCATACACCGATGCATCACCCCTTCATGATAGACTCAGCCAGGACCATCCCGTAGGTAATCTAGAGAGGAGCCATGGAAAACTGTTGAGAATATTAGTCTTGGTACAGAAAAGGGTGTGTGGTAGAGAGTGAGAAAAGGCTCCATTAGAAGAGAAGGTAAGAAGGAACGTGAGGAATGAGACAGGCTATAGGATGATATGAAGGCGGATCTGTAGGTGGTAGGCAGTTATCCAAAGCTTTGAGATGAAGATGAGGCATTGAGATTGTGGGTCATATTGTTCCTTCTCTCTGATCAGCACAATTACTGCGTTTGTTGTTTGAAGCTGCTTCCTTTCACAATTTGGCTAGAAGTTCCACATAATGTATAATAAAACTTCATCTCCTGTCAGCGCCAAAATTTTCCCAAATGTGTTTTTAGTGCATTTATAGTTCATTTTCATAGTTGTATAATACAGTTCACGTAATGCACTTATTGCTAACCTCGGTTCTCTGGAACAAAATTTTTCCTGTTGTGATGCTGCTAAGCTCAGTGGAGATATACCATGGAGGAATTTAATCCTCTCTTTTTGTAGCAGCCTATAAATAAGCTTCCTAAAATGACGAGATCATCTTTTCAGCTTCCCCATTCAGGGTTGCTAAAGCAGTAGAGAGAAACTTTGGCATTCACTTTCCCTTGAGAAGGATTCCCAGGTTCCTCCCTGCACCTTCCCCACCCGTCTGCACTCTAGAGCCTGGATGATCTTTTCCTGACTGCTTCCTAATGCTGGGTTTGTTGCATTCCGGTCATCTTTATATTCACTTGGCAACTGTGTATCTGTGTTGGGTAGGAGGATGTTGGGGGCACCCAATCAGAGGGATTTGAATGGAGTTGGTGCATCTTGTTTTGGGCAGAAACCCGTGCAATTTAGAAGTGGCACTGCTAAGACCCCCTGTTGAATATGGTTACACATACACCAGAAAGACTTCATAACTTATCGCTAAGCCTGCGTGTCTGTCACGGTGGTCATGGATTCTGTGACCTCCGTGACTTCTGCAGTGGCCGGCTCGGGGCTGCAGCAGTTTGGGTGTGGGGCGGGGCTCAGGGCTGGGACAGAGGGTTTGGTTGGGGGGTGGTGCTTACCTCGGGTGCGGTGGGGGGGTTCTCTCCGGAAGTGGCTAGTATGTCCCTGCAGGCACTGCCCCCGCAGCCCCCATTGGCTGAATTCCCGGCCAATGGGAGCTACGGAGCTGGCGCTCGTGACGGGGGCAGTGTGCAGAGCTCCCCTGGCCTTCCCTCCCCCTAGGAGTTGGTGCAACTGCAGGGACGTGCCAGTCGCTTCCATGGAGCCTGCCAGCACTGCCAACACCTACCCTCCCCCCCAGCACCAGCAGGCGTCCCGGGCTGTGCGCCACCACCCACCTCACCCCCAGCACCAGCGGGGGTCCTGGGCTCCCCGCAGCACTTGCAGTGCCCCTGGACCACCACCCCCAGAGCACCCGTGGCCCCCCAGCCCAAGTTTTAGTTAAGGATACATAGGCCAAGCCATGGACAGGTCATGGGCTGTGAATTTTTGTTTACTGCCTGTGACATGTACATGGCTTTTACTAAAAATACCTGTGACTAAAACGTAGCCTTACTTATGCCCTAACACGATGATATTGTAGTGTTGTGATGCCATGACTGCATTGGGAGCCTTTTCTGCAGCATCATTCTCTTCTGGGTCAATCGAGTATATTTTTGTTTATTGTGATTGCATCTGACACCAGAAGGTCTCACAGAGATTAAGGCAAATTTGTGCAGATTATTTTTTTTATATGCATGCACACATGTACATGATGCACTGATGGTTTAACTAATATTTCATGCCTTTCAAATACATTGTTAGATTCCAGTCATGCAATAAGCTCTGCAGGGAGGTCCACCTATTATCCATAAGATTGGGTATTGTAACCCATAGTAATCGCCTCTTCCAGACAACCCAAACCTCCTAAAAAACTTGTCATCACTGTTCAAATATGACATGGTTTTTGTACCTCTTTTGTGATGTTAATTTTGTTTGAAATTTTGTTTGTGCCGCTGTGGAGGATGCATGACACTGATTTAGAAAGACAGAATCTAGATTGCTTGGAGGAAATGTCCTGTTGTTCACAACTAGGCTAGAAGGCCGCTTTTATTCATTTTATGCAGATCTTTGGCATTTAATTATTTACAGGAGAACTTGAGATGAAAGCTGTTCTCCTCTTCAGATATTGCCTTCAGCAATTCATTTATGAAACCTGAAGCTTGCATCCGAGATGGGTGAACTGCGTACAGTTCAGAGATTCAGTTTGGGTCAACAACGGAAAGTTTGAATCCTTATCTGAACTGGAGATGGGCCCAATGTCAGAAGTTAAATTCTGGATTTAGAACCTCCATACAGTTTGTACGGTTGGGGGAGGAGTTAGTTCTGGTGTTCTGGTTTGAGCCCGTCTCTAATCCAAATCTCTTCTGAACTAATGGGGACTTTAAAACTTGGCTCGAAATCTTACAAGTATCATATTTCAGGCAGTATTTAGTTTCTCTTGGTGCAGGCCAGAACAAGGTAGTGCAGTTACACATGAAAATGTGGTGAAAAAACCAGTTAACCAGTGTTTTGTTAAGTCAAAGATGATTTGTTTTGAGTGGTTTGGAGACACAGCGGCACACTCAGCTAATAGAGTCCTTGGATTTTTCTGTAATTCTGTGTGAATGTAAAAATCTTTTTTTCTTTCATTTTAGCCTGTGAGTATAAAAGGCTCAATCCTTGGGGAAAGTAGTCTTGGTAAGAGTTTTTTTCTTTGAGTGCTTGCCCACTTCACCATATAAAGTATGTCTACACTGCAATCAGAGGTCTCACTGCCGTACATACAGACATACTCAAGTTAGCTTTGATCTAGTTAGCTTCAATAACAATCGCAGTGAAGCCATTGCAGCATGGGCTAGCCACTTGAGTAAACAGACGGGGTTCTGGGTGGGCTTGTATAGCCTGGTGCTATCATGGTTTCACTGCTATTGTTGTTCGAGCTCGTTAGATCAAAGCTAGCCCAGCTATGTCTACATGTACTGTAGTCAGAGCTCTGATTGCAGCATAGGTTTAGCCATAGTTAGCGACTATTGTCTCTGCAGAATAATAATCTCACACTTACTCTGATTACATTTTCAAGGTATTTCTGTATATTCACTAAGAGGTACAGTTATGCAAGTGTGTGGCTGTGAATTTTCAGTGTGACAGTTGATAAAAATCCTGTGTTACATAGTGATTAGACTATGATATTTACGTTGATAAATGGCAAGGTTTAATTGGAATAGAACAGGTTTACAGATACAGAGTTGTACAGAGCAAATGATGAAAACTGGATCAAAGTGTCTTTCTGTCCTTTTTGGTCATCAGTGTACCTAATTTCTTTATGCTTGAATTTAATAATAGAAACATAGTGCTTGCAGATTTCTAGGCTTGTGTTTTATGCAGAGCTTTGGAAAATTCAGCAGTTTGTGTGAACATTTTCTTCAGTTTAAATTTGTGTGGCATCTTCTGAGTTCTAGGTTCAAAAAACCTCATAACAGAATTAATTTGAAACTGAGTTTCACCTAGTTTTGTGTTGAGGCTATGCAAAAAATTCAATAAATCAGTCCAGATTTGGAGGGATTAGGTTCCTTTCAAATGAAGCTCAAAATAGGCTTCTAAGGGGCAGAAGAACTAATGCCTGACTTTTCCATTGGCTTTCATCTTGTATAGTAATTCATATCTGACAATATTTTAAACAGATTTTTTACTCACTTTTCACAGATGTAAATTACTACACAAGGTGGTAGGCAGTGGAGACTCAGGTCCGCTGGCTGTACAGATCCCTGAGGATAACTGATTGTATCTGTTCATATGAACACCCATGATTTTGTGTGTGTACGTGTGTGTACTGAACATGGGATAATACAATATCTAGATTTTTCAGCAATTTCATTTCACTGTTTCTATGCACACAGTATAAAGCAGTGACACTAGAGCTGGAGAACATCCATTTCTTGAGACATTTAAAGCAGATTGGACAAAGCAATGGAAACTATACTGCAGGGAAAAATCCTGTACTGATAGAGGGATGGACTAGATTGGACCTAATACAGCAGTTTTGTCTCTGACTTCAACAGATTTGGCACCTTGAATCCATAACCTGGACTACATTTCTGGAACTTTAATGTCACTTTGTTCAGTTGGCCTGAAGGTCTTGTATACTCCATGGATCTGTGGAATTTTTAAGGGAAGTTGATGGTCTAGTTCCATGCAATGAGAGTTCAAGAACATGCACACAGAAATCTGCCTGTAGAAATGTGGGGTTACCTTTTGATTTATCTTCCCTCAGAACCTGTGCTCCTTTTACAACAAATAACTGTCTGGCCTATGGTCTCATTTGGAAGCAACATTACAGTGTGAAGGTCCCAAATTAATTGAACTGCTAAACCATGGTATGATCCAGTTTATGACAAAATGAGGAACACAAGAAAATTAGTGGCACGGGATGCTTAAAATGGGGCAGAGTTGAACTTTGTTATTGCTAACCCAAATTCCTTATGCTTTGAAGATGCTGATGAAGGGAGCTTTTGATTGCTGACAACAAGCAAGAGTTTGTGTATGGAAGGGCAGAATTTGGCCCTCAAGCTCAATGGACAGGGCTTATATACTTTTAGTTGGTTCCCGTGTTAGATGCTTTTCTGAATACTCATTGTCTTGCATTTAAGTATAATCTGTCTAGATACAATCTTCAGTTTAGCAGATGTTAGTTGCTGTGTGAACTCCAACTACAATTAACCTAAGGAAGACAGAGGGAGAATTTGCAATGTCTGGTAAGACTTTTATTGCTTCTGTAAGTAGGTTTTTCCATTATCCCCTTTGCTCCTAATGGCCATAGTCTACTGCTGAAGTTAAAATGTGATTCCAGGTAGTTCATGGAGGGAGTCAACACCAAGATGTGTTCCGAGGGGTTAGTTCCGTAAGGAGAGCCCCTAAAACAGGCTAATGTCACTCAGATGTAACCGTTCATTGTAATCTGTAATTGCTTGACTGTATCGTGTAAAATGCTGATGTTCTTGCTTCTCTGAACAATAAGAAGTGAGGAGAAAAATAATGCAGACTTCTAGATAAAGCAAAAACCTGTGCTTGGATAAAACAGAAAATTGTGTTTTCTCCTGCAGCTTGCAGTTTTTCAGAACTAAGTCTCATGAATGGCAATGATCTTGGCTGCTTTGGTCCAAGGTGCTTGATAAGAAGCTCCTCTCTGGGGAATGAAGGGGAATATTTCAGTATTACTAAATTTAGCAGCCTTGCTCCTAAAATCTGACCTGTGTAATGGTCGTCTTGTTTTTTCAGGCCAATCATTTAGTGTAACCTCTTCTGGCTTCAATTTGAAGTAGATTGTAGTGGGGGATGGTGGCTCTTGGGGTTGGAAATGGTAGACACAGCCTTTTGCCTCTAGCCTCTCTGTTCGAATGTATACGATGGTGATTGTGGCCAAAAGTTACTGCCTGATGGCTGTTCAGTAGCCTGTGTGAAATGAGTCTAAAGGGTCTCAATCCAATTCCCAACACTCTTAGTGCAATCATGCTTTTCGCCAAGCAACTTCACTCCAAGTAGAGCCAAGTGAATGATTTGTAATGAATAAAGTATTCATATTTTGCCACTTTCTGTTCAGAAATTTTCACAGATGGCATTTTTCATTTGTTTGGAATTATTTGCCAAATTTCTACAATAAATTTTTAGCCTGTAGCTTGTTCCCAATTAGTTCATTGCAAATATTTAATATTTTAGGTTTTCTGATTGGACACACGTCACATGGTATTATTTCTGTTCTGTGACTGGTTGAGAGTAAATCTTAAAATCAGATTTCTAATGTGAATGCTCAGTTATAAATCTGAAATTTGCTTTCTGCAAAAATTTACAGCATATGCTCAAAACTTGTATGTGCAAACAATCCTGCTAATAAATTAATTTTCTAGGATAATTTGCAGAAAACAAACATACCAGGAGCATGAAGCAAATTAAACATTATTGAACAAATATTTGGTGACAGTTTTATTTTGCGGTATTCTCCCTACTCTAAATACTGTAGAGACTCAGTTTAATTGGAATTGCAGTTGGCATACTGTTATGCTTTGAAACGATTTGGGCCATTCATTTTACTTCACTATATCCAAGTCTGGTATGAATGGCTCCCTCTGTATTCAGGATAAAACCCATAGCATTCTGTTCCATTAGAACATAAAAACGGCTATACTGGGTCAGAGCAAAGGTCCATCTAGTCCAGTATCCTGTCTTCCGACAGTGGTCATTGATACACAAGATATCTGACTGGTCTATGCACAGAACCATTCAATTATGTGAAATTTTTATGCTAATGTTCAATTGAAAACTAAACTGTGCCCAGTCCTTGCTGATGTTCTTTGCTTTGAATCTGTCAGCTTTTAATTGCTGCTTAATATACATTTCAAAGATCTGTGAAATGGAGTTTCACATTGTACTTCCTAAACTATTCCCTATTTAATGCAGTGCTGTTATTTGTCCTTTCTTCTAAATAGTTTCTTTGACAGTATAGGCTTTTTCCTCCAAAGATCTCAAATCACTTTACAAACACTAAATCTCACAGTATCATTGGGAGGTGAGTATTACAACTATGTCATAGAGAAATAAATGGCTACTCGTTGAGGTTAAGTAACTTGGCCCAGGTCACACAGCGAGTAGGTTCCTGAGGTGGCATTAGAACACTGCTGTCCTGAATCCTCCAGGCCCTTTTTCTAAAAATTGGATACCCACCTCCTTTTGTTGTTCATTTAACAAGGCAGGAAAAAAAAAAGATTAAATCATTTAATCTTGAAAAGACACCCTCATAACACACTTTCAGAACTATGGTGCCATTCACTTTTATTGAGGGAGATCTGTATTGTTAAATGAAATATTGTTACTGAACTACATTTAAAAACTTGTGTGGTTTTGTGACCTACCATGGCAGATCCTTCGGCTGATACAGAATTTGGGTTTTCCATGCGTTCTTCTCCTTGTCTTTTACATTTCTGAATACAGTTGCATAGCTGGCTCCAGCTAGGGCATGGGCACTCGGAAAAGAAGGAGAAGCCATTAGAAGGTTGGAAAGACGCTACCAGCACAAAATACCAAGAATTTGAAGCTAGTAAAATGATGGTTTTTCATTTCTAGGGAGACTAACCTGAATTTTGACTGAAGTATGCATTTCAGAGTGTGAGAGGAAGTAGCAATGTCTTTTTAAAAAAAAGAAATTAAAAAAAAAAATCACATTGACCATCTCAGCTTCCAGTGTGTTCTACCCCAGACATCTCCAGCATGGCATATGCCCTCTTGGGGGCGTCTTTGAATTATGAAATCTAGGGCCTACAAAACTTCAGAGTCCACAGTAACCTGCCTTTTCTTGAAAGTCTTTTCTGTTCTCCCCTCTTGTACCTTTAGAAAATGCTTGACTACTCCTATCCTGAAGTCAAGAGGGTTGCTTTTGATTGATGTCACTTTAGAAGGCTGCAAGACTGTTTCCTCCTCATTTTGATCTAAATGCAACCCCCCTACCCCACCTCCCTTAGTACTGTTCGTGTGTGTGCTGGCTTGGAGAGCAAGTGATTGGGACCAAGAGTCAAACCTAAGTTTCCCAGGATCCACAATAAAGCCTTGAAAGACAGGGTATCGATGATTCCATCTGATACAAAATCCCAAGGTTGCAGGTGTGCACTGGGATTGTATACCCTAGTAGCAATAGGCAAAATATGTCATTGTAGGCAGTCGTACGAAGGGTGAGGAATTGCTCGTTTTGGCAGAGTTTGAATTAGGTGATAAGACCTCTCACTGGAGAAGTGGTTACCCCAGTTCATCACAAAGATTAGCAAATCTTTTAAAGGCATGATCTCACAGAATTTACCTTTGTGTCTGTCCTTGGGGCTTCTTAAACTCAGAACCCTGCTTGTTTTATTATAATAATGAAATGAACTTAAATCATATTTAGCTATTGATAAAATATCAGTTGCAAATTGTCATAAAGAGCTATTGTGCTCAGCAAACTTACTGGGAAGGGAACTTCAAATATAACAAACACAATGAAGGCTAGTGCACAGGGTAGCAGGACACATACGATTACTGCTTTGGCATAGATGCTTTGTCTGTGTCTTAGTCTGAGCAGCATGTCTTCACTTATACCTGTGATTAGAAAGGGAGAAAAATCATTCTCTGTGAAGTAGATGAAATACAGTACAGAAGACAGCATGTTCCCCATTGGTAGTTTGAGGATTTCTTCATCTTTAGGATGGTAACGCAGTACAGCCAAACCTGAGAACGTTTCATTAACACTTAAGGATGTCCACAAGACTCTGTGAATATATCAATCCAGAAAGCCTCTGTGAAACCTTTTAGAACTCTGCCTGGTTTATGCTTGGTTGAGAGATAGGAGCAAGAACATAATTTCCCATGAGAGAGGTAGTGCCCAAATTTTGCTCACCAATACAAATATGCAAGTTTGCAGAACAAAGAGGGGTTGTGTGAATTTCAGAAAACCACCTGGCCCAATATTTTTCAGATACCACAGTTAGTCTTTGTGAAAACTTGTAAGATTTGTGTGTGTGGAATCTAAAAACCATCTTCCTTCTCCCATCCTTACATATCCTGCTACTCTTGGTTGCTGAGTATCTCAGTGCTGACTATACAGAGAAAACTTTTTACTGCTACCTGAGTTGCTGTTTTGTTGGTGTACAGCTGTGGCGTGCAGTTGCTCTGCAAAAATTTCCGGCTCAGACAGCTTTGCGTTAATAATGCAATCTGATATCCCCACCAGAAACACTGTGAAAAGAATGAGATGTTTAAAACCAGTGAAGACTTTTTTTATTTATTTAAACCAATTAGGGAACAAAAGCAACTCAAGACTAGAGTAAACTAAGCAGGGGCTTAGTGGCCAATAACTGGTAGAATATTAGGCAATTTGCAACAGAGTACTAGTAACTTGTAATGTTATCATGTTAGACATGATAATATAGTGAGTGAGATGTCTTTGCCAATGTTCCTTCATTTGAGAATTTCTATTATGAAGTCCAAGACTGTTTGTAAACTGTTACTGTACAGTCCCTGCAATAACCATATCTTACTCATTGCTTTGTAAAACACTTTTGGGATACACAATGTATGAAAGTTGCTCCGTAAAACTGAATTAGTTTCTGAATTGGGCTTATAACAGTGTTAAAGGGAGGGACATAAGGTAGAGCATGGATATTCTAATATGTTTGGGCCCCATGCTTATTGATTGGCCAAAACTTTGGAAGCCTTTTGATCCACAACAGTTTAAATTGTTATACAAAGTTGGGTCATCACTGTAAAGCAAAGCCTTAGCTTTTAGCTAAACTGTGGGCATAATGACAGGTTTCAGAGTAACAGCCGTGTTAGTCTGTATTCGCAAAAAGAAAAGGAGTACTTGTGGCACCTTAGAGACTAACCAATTTATTTGAGCATGAGCTTTCACGAAAGCTCATGCTCAAATAAATTGGTTAGTCTCTAAGGTGCCACAAGTACTCCTTTTCTTTTTGTGGGCATAATGTAAGGAGTGTCATCAATCTCAATATGGTTGACACTTTGATCCTGTTGACACTGTAATTCTAGCCATCTTGAGGGATCATGTTACAGCACGGTAGAGTGCTGACATGATTAGAACACAGATTTTTGCAGTGCAGTTGAGTGTTTACTGTGTTTTAGATGTATTGCTGAATTCTGCAACAAACTTGGGCTTTTGCAGGGCTGTAGTGCAATTTGGGGTCACAGTTAAAACATGATGCTGTCCCATCTGCACTGTCCTGTTTAACTGTCTGTGGACTACTGCATTGCAACAGAATTCCCAAATTCTGTAGGAATTAGTGTAGCTGGAACCTTTACAAAGAAAACCAACTAATTTTGCATATGTGGTTTGATACAGAATGAGATTTCTTAAAATCTACTGGAGATCCGTGGAACAAAGGGGAAAAACAAACAGCCTGCAGTTCACTCTTCTGTGCCGAATATTCTATGTTTGATTTTCTTTTCATTTTCCTAAAAGAGCTGGATTATTGTATGATGAAAAGTAATCACAGTTATATATGGTAATCAGGTCTTCTGCTGCTGAAATCCAGGAGGAATATTTCTTTCCTGAATTGTTCAGTATTGCATAATTAAGTGGTTTTCCATTTCCATATCTTAGCTATTTATATAGCTATATGTATTGGAAAATAAAACTCCCTACAGTAATTGTCCACAAAACTATGTCTAACAATACTGTTATTCAGTGTTTGGATCATTACTTCATAATACTGCAGTATTTTTTTAACAAATATATAAATATAGATATTTTGCTTTCATAAACACTTTTGTTGCTGGCAACGTATCAGCTGTTTGTGGACAAAGCCTAAGACTGCATTTTTTACATACGTAACGGGAATATGCTATAATGAACAAAGATTTGTTTTTTACCTTTGCCTGTAAGGTTAAATTCAGTCTGAAAACTTTGTTTATGATCTGCTAGTAAGAGACAGCTGTGGGCAGTAGAAGCACTCTCATCTGGATCAGTGATGTCTTTCAGGCTTTGGAGGGTGTATGTAATGATTGGCTTGTTTGTGAAAACACTGTACATCTTCTCTGAGTAGAGGAGATTTACTTGTATGGGGCTGTGCAGACCAGAGCATTGCAAAGTGGCGACTGTATGGTTTCTGTTTAGCTCCCCTTTTGCCACTGCTTTTTCAGACTCTGGAGACAGGAAAGCAAAAATATAACTACTAGGAAGTCCTTGTCCTAAATTGTAAATCATTTCTTTTGTACAAGATTCAGGCCATCGAGATTAGTCATGAACATTATGGTACCGCACAAGAGACACATAACTGTTAATATTACAGTGAGGAAAAAATGACCAGATTTTTGGTTCGTGTGTGTAAGTAATTCCCCAGGGTTCTTTTCACAAGCTAACTTCTATCTTTTAAAATACCACAAAAATGCTTTTTTAATGTAATTGCCCATTTTGTCTAACATTGTAGTTATATTTTTGTGATAACTGTGCTGCCCGTGACTGCATGCAGTATTCAAGGTATGGGTGTACCGTGGATTTATCTAGTGGCATGACATTTTCTGTCTTATCTATCCCTTTCCTAATGGTTCATAACATTGTTAGCTTTTTTGACTGCTGCTGCACGTTGAGTGGATGTTTTCAGACAACTATTTACAATGACTCCAAGATCTCTCTTAAGTGGTAACCGCTTATTTAGACCCCATCATTTTGTATGCGTAGTTGGGGTTATGTTTTCCAAAGTACGTTACTTTGCACTTATCAGCATTGAATTTCATATGCCATTGTGTTCCCCAGTCACCCAGTTTTGTGAGATCCTTTTGTAACTCTTCATAGTCAAGTTTGGACTTAACTATCTTGAGTAATTTTGTATCATCTGCAAACTTTGCCAACTCACTATTTATTCCTTTTTCTAGATCCCAGTACATTCCTTGAGGGACTCTGCCGTTTATTTCTTTCTCCTGTGAAAACTGTTTATTCGTACCCTTGGTTTCCTATCTTTTAGCAAATTATTGATCCATGTGAGGACCTTCTCTTTTATCCCATGGTTGCCTGCTTTGCTTAAAAGCCTTTGGTGAGAGACCTTGTCAAAGGCTTTCTGGAAGGGCAAGTACACTATATCCACTAGATCTCCCTTATCTGCATGTTTGTTGACGTCCTCAAAGAATTGTAATAGATTGTGGAGGCATGATTTCCCTTTACAAAAGATGTGTTGACTATTCCCCAACATACCTTGTTCTTCTGTGTGTCTGGTAATTCTGTTCTTCACTATAGTTTCAACCAATTTGCATGGTACTGAAATCACGCCTGTAATTGCCAGGATCAGCTCCGGAATCTTTCTTAAAAATTGGTGTCACATTAGCTCTCCACCAGTCATCTGGTACAGAGGCTGATTTAAGCAATAGTTTACATACCGTTAGTAGTTCCGCAATTTCATATTTGAATTTCTTCAAACTCTTGGGTGAATACCATCTGGTTCTGGTGACTTATTACTATTTAATTTATCAGTTTGTTCCAAAAGCCTCTCTTAACACTTCGGTCTGGGACAGTTCCCCAGGTTTCTCACCTCTGCATCCCATACTGAGAAGACGTACACCCAGTCAATATGAGGATAGTTGAAATCCTACATATTGCATTTTCCACCTTTGTAGCCTCTCTAACGTCCTTGAGCATTTCACAGTCACCATCGCCATCTTGCTCAGGTGGTCAGTAGTATATTTCTACTGCTATACTCTTATTGTTCAAGCATGGCATTTCTGTCCATTAAAGTTCTTTGACTCAATGCTTTCTTTCACATATAGTGCCACTCCCCCTCCAGCTTGACCTACTCTATGACTATATATTTTGTACCCTGATAATACTGTGTCCCATCAGTTAACCTCATTCCAACAAGTATCTGGGATGGCTATTATATCAATACCCCCATTAAAACCAGGGACCCAACTTAGTATTCAGACTTCTAGCATTTGTATATAGGCACTTGCAAATTTTGTCAATATTCTGCTGCTTGCCTTCATGTGTTACATTTAAATGGAACTATTACGTTTGACTGTTCCTCACAAGCTCTTACCTGTACTTTACCAACTTCTTTCCTATCCTTTTGACAAGTGTAGCCCATAGTGCTGGCTTGCCTGCTTTCCTTTAAATTAATCGCTAAGGGATGTCTGCCTGAACCATATACTCCTCCACAGCAGTTGTCTTTTTCCCTACCCCTTTGTTTAAAAAAAATCCTCTACAACCTTTTTTAATTTTACATGTCAGTGATTGGGTTCATTGTGGTTTAGATGGAGCCCATCCTTCCTGAATAAGCTCCTCCTTTTCCAAGAGGTTCCCTAGTTCCTAATAAACCTGAAACCTTCCTCTCTATACCATCGTCTTATCTACGCATTGAGACGCTGCAGTTCTGCCTGTCTTTCTGGCCTTGTGTGTGAAACTGGAAGCATTTCAGAAAATGCTACTGTGGAGGTCCTAGACTTCACTCTCTTACCTAGCAGTCTAAATTTGGACTCCAGGACCTCTCTCCTACCTTTCCCTATGCCAGTGGTACCTACATGTACCATGACCACTGGCTGGTCTCCAGCACTGCAGATAAGTCTGTCTAGATGTCTCTTGAGATCTGCAGTCTTCGCACCAGGCAGGCAATTTACCATGTGATTCTTCCAATCATAACAAACTATGTACCTATATTTCTAATAAATGAATCCCCCTTTGCTCTTACCTTGCTCTTCTGACTAATTGGAGTTCCCTCCCCACTTCCTTTGCTTCCCTACCTTGCAGTAAGATGTTCATGCTTCTTGTGCTTTCAGATAGTACTTCTGAAGAATTTTCCACACGACAGTCATAATCTCTGAGGTCTGAGTGGAATGGACATGACAGATTACTAGACTAATCATGTGCACAATTTTCTTCTTACCTCTCTTTGTGGATTTTAAAAATTTTTAAACGCAACTCCCCTCTTCATTTTTCACGGCTACTTTAATAGCAACTAGAGTTGTTCTGATTAATAAAGTCTAGATTATGACTTAAACTTACAGTGAATTTCGGGGGTGGGGGAGAAGAATGTGGATCTGGGGTCTTGGATCAGCATATTGTAGAAGTGGAAGTGAGTTAAAATTTACATCCAGCGCTGAACTTTCCCCAAACTTCCTATGTGTATGTGTTCAGAGCCAAGAGTTTGGCTTGAGCTCTAACATACGCACCATTCAAAAAATATTTTACAATGTTAAAGATCATAAAAGTGTGAAACCAACATACACCCACCACTGTGAGTGAATAAAATTAAAAACCAAGAGAGAACACTGATACTGTCAGCAGAGTTATTTGCTATGCTTGGTTTTAAGATTGCTTGTATTGTAGTTTAGTTACCATCACTGTTAATCCAAGGGAACTGAACTGTGCTAGAAGTGCAAATCAATAGTAATATAAAAGATCACTAGTGACCCCTTTCTAAAAGAGTAGGGGTGTGTTGCCACATTTATATTTCAGTTCTGCCCAGCCAAATTCCCTCTGTAGCTTAAATTGGGTAGAGGTATTCTTTCTTGTTTTTTTGCATAAGTCTGAGGCTGTAAGCAAGTGTACAGGAAGAATTTTATTCACACAAATAGTTATCAATTCATTGGCACAGAGGTAATACGGTGGCTGGCAACTTTGAAATACTTGTTAGGTGGAGGGGTCAGCCTTGAAATGGTATGTTAAACAAGAAATATCCCTTCTGCCTATTGTTAGTGACTCAGTGAGGGAAGTTGAAAGCTCTTACAGCACTATTTGAAAGCATAAGGAGATAGCATGCACTAGTTATCTTTATATATAAAAAAAAAGGTGGGGGGGTGGAGGATGTAATGGTCAAAATAATGATACTGCTGAGCGTAGAACTGCTGTTGTATATTGCCTATATGTGGCCAGCTTATTTGTGAATAGGCTTTAGAAAGTTTTTGAGATGCCTTGAGTATGGGAGGTGGTATGGCAATCCAAATTCTACAGATTTTTTTTCTCATTCCTTTTTAAAAAGCTTTTAATAAGTGACATTTTCAGAGCAGTACCTAAACATTAACTAACAAACATAATTTATAAATGACATGTCTGTGTCCCCGGTATACTTTTTGGTTTTGTTCTGTTAGAATTCTGCAAACAGTTAAAAACAGTCCGCTTACCTTTTGGGCTGACGCTGTAGTAAATAAACAGTAAACTAAACACCAATATTGTGTCCATAATGCTGACATGAATACAATATTCGTGATCATGAAATCCTTTCACTCTTATTTCTTTCACTCATAAATTCTGTGCGGTTGCATTGGTTGGTAAAGGTCTCAAATTAGTATTGTAACGGCACCTTCCTGTTTGAAACTCACTAAGTTTGAATATTGATTAGTGATAAAGAGAGTTAAAAATGAGACTGTTTATTCATTGCAGTTTGATCCATTTCTAGATTGGTAATTGCTCTGATCCAGTTAATAGAGGTGCAGGATTTGCTTACTGTTTGACCTGAATAAACTTTATCTAGGGATATAATTTCCCCTCAGTGCATACGGCTTGTATGAGGCTCAATGTACCACATAAGGATAAGCCCCATGTTAAGCATTTGAATGGGTGTAACTGGTAAATAGGAACTTTGCCACACCTGGGTGAATTTCACTGCCCTAAACAAGATAATTTAGCTGCCTGAGTAGACTGAGAGGAAGTCTTTCACTTGCCTGATACATGCTAGATTCTATTCTGTTCTGTTTATGTTCTTATACTGTGCTCATCACCATAGTATCCAAGGACCTTCTAGAATTAGGAGATTAAACAAGATGACTAGTGTTGATCAACAGTTTATTGGGCCAGCAGGTATTGCAGGATTAAATGGATGCTGTTGACTAAAACTTGGCCCCCAAACTGAGACAAGTGTATTTACAAGTGTAAAAGTGAGCTTTTGAGTAATGAAAAGTGTAGAGTGTTTGTTTAGATTTGTGAAAATATAAGGAGTGCACTCTCGCACATTGTCTCTCCCCCGACAATTAACTTAAAAACAGAGTAAGCAAAATGTAGGGTTGCTGCTGGTTCTCAAAGTATAGCAATAGCTAAATACACCATGTAGCCTAGATAAAATAAAATAAATATCACATCCTCCCTCAAATAAAACTTCTTTCCCCAGAAGGTCTTTTAAACGGATGAGCCTTACAGCATGCCCTAAAGGTCAGTTGAGTTGGGCCATTTTGGACCAAAGGCAGGATGAGTGCATTCCACAAGAAAAGGGCTCTCTGTAGAATGCCCTGCCAGCAGCCCACTCTCTTTTATAATTTAAGGGTATGTTATGAGTGCTGTAGGAATCTCCGCTGTGACAGTGTCACATGGGGAAAAGAGGCATCTCTCAGAAAGGCAGGTCATTTACGGTTTTTTAGGTCGATACCAAGCCCTTAAACTCTCCCCAGTAATCCACACAGAGCCAGTGCAGATTATGAAACGTTAGTGAAATATGCTCACAGTAGGATTAACAAGTGGGCTGCCACATTCTACACTAGCTTTAGTTTCTGGATGGATTTGAGGAGGAACCCTAACCAAAGTGCAGTGTAGTAATCTCTAGTCTGAAGATGGCAAAGCTATGAATTGCAGTGATATAGCCTACATCAGAAGGAAAAAGTTTCACTTTCTTAGCCAAATGGGAAAAAACATTGTCTTGGTTACCATGGAACGCTGGCCATCTGGCAATAACTGTGAGTCTAACCAGAATGCTCGGTTGCTACCTTTACCAGTAAGCTAGGTAACCCCGGATGTGCTAACAGCTCAATTGTTAGAAACTGGAATTTTCTATTTCTGACACAAGGTGGCGCTTTTCAGCTAAAATTTCTCCTTTTTCAAAGCCCAAATTTCCACCTACTGTTTAATTGGATTGTAGAATGAAGGATACTATATTTTTAATGAATCTAAGATTAAACCTTGCTTTTCAAATGACTTGTGTTCTAGAGACCCAAGCTAGCTTTGTTGTAAGTATTGATACGGTCAGAGGGGTTTTATTATTTTTAAGGTAGTGGGAAAAGCATGTACAGCAGCAATAATAATAATGAATACTTCACTCTTATAGAGCATAGTTCATCCATAGATCTCCTAGTGATTTATAAAGGAGGCTATCATCCCCATAGGAGAGTTTTAAAGTGGCGTGAGGAGGTATGTTTCCAAAATTTGAGATGTACGTTGGGAAGGAACAATTTTTAAAAAGTTTGGGCCAGATACTTCTCTGTGCTCCAGTTTCATGTTTCGCTCCATTTTCACACTAGCCATGTTTTTAATGGGATGATTTCAAGATAAAAATCATATTAAAAGTTCCAAATCCCTCCCTGTGTTACTAGTCAAATCTTCAGGAGTGATGGTTTAAAATGTATTTTTAAAATCTAATTTCTATTTCACCATTTCAGCACTCTGCTTTTTCCTATGCCACAGTGGCTAGTGATGCTACCGTACAATGAGATGTTTATATGAAAAGAGCCCTGCGTGGGCTAAATATTACTGTACTACTGCTGGTCAGTTTCACTTTCTTATTAGTACTGCTGTTTGCATCACAACACAGCAAAACAATGTTGACATAAACAGACTAGTTCTACTTTTAAAGACAACCAGAATGCTTTTAAATAAACAAAAATCTCTTTAAGAACTTAAAAGCAATAAACACACATGGATAGGCTTAAAATGACAAATACCCTGTTAAACAGAGTGATCTGATGATTGTATTACTGCATAACATTTCTCTAAACAAAAAGATAAGCTCAGTGTAAGTTTTATTTCTGAGATTTACACAACAAATTTTTGTAAACCTATTAAAACTTTCTAAATAAACGGTTATTAAAAATGACAAAACTCTTTTAAAGCAAAATGATATAAAACTCTTTCCTTTTTTACTTACCTTCCCGGACCTGAATTCTGTGTTCTCTGCCAGAATTGAGGGCATCAAGAACACTTCAGACCTCTTGTGCTCCCTTGCCACTGAGGTGGCTGTCGTCAGCTGCTGTGGGAGAGACTTGGAACCCTAAACTTGGATCATTGCAGGTAATAAAACTTTCAGTTTACTTTTCAAAATGTTTTTACTTGCACTTTTAAGACTACACATTTTTAAGTAAAAAAAGTGCATTGATTGCTTTTTCCATGTGCATAGTAAGTACAGTGCATATATTTATAAGACTAATCAGAACTATTCTATCATGAAGAGTGATGATAAATTCTCAGTGTGATAAACAGAGAATCAAAAAGAAAAATGGATACAAACTCTTAAGTCATTTGCATCCCTAGTTATGGTTAAGGTGAAATCATGTTTAAAAGATGGTCACAAACAAAAACCTCTAATCAGAACACTTGGTGATTTACAGAGAAGTTTGTACCGGAACTTTGTGCCTCATGCCTGTGCCTGATAATATTACAGAGGCTTATCTGATACTTTGTGGCTCTATTATAAAACGTGTTATGACTTTCCAGATTTTGAATCTTTAACAGGTTCATAATTGTCACCTCTTCCTCACCTCTCCAGTCTAAAACAGATTGAAATGTAGGGCCCAGTCCTGCTCCCAGCTCAATCAGTGGCAAAACTCATCATTCTCATGGGTGCAGGATTGGGATCATAGTGGCTAGTAACAATTCATAGAATCATAGAATATCAAGGTTGGAAGGGACCTCAGGAGGTCATCTAGTCCAACCCCTGCTCAAAGCAGGACCAATCCCCAATTTTTGCCCCAGATCCCTAAATGGCCCCCTCAAGGATTGAACTCGCAACTCTGGGTTTAGCAGGCCAATGCTCAAACCACTGAGCTATCCCTCCCCCCCGAATTGATAGCGTGTCTTCCAGTTCAATAGAATATTCCTTCTAAATCAATTTACTACAATTCTCCCAAATTGTATTTAACGTTACACAGTATTCTGCTAGCTTCTGCTCCCACTGATGGTAAAGGAAGTTTGCCATTGACTACAGTGGAAACAGGAGCAGACACTTATAAGAAGATATTTAACACAGGGTTTTATTTTATAAATGTATTTAAAGTTAAATAACCGTATTTTGGGTGATTCACTTGACCTCTGTATGCCTTATTTTTCCCCATCTGTAAAATGGGGTATTAAAAGTGCTAGGAGATCCATCGATAAAAAAGCCTTAGGTAAATGTTAAGTGTTGTTATAATAATAATAATAATTAAAATCTTGCTTCCAGGCTAAGTCTGAAGCTTGGCCAAGGCTGACATTATTACTGTTTGTCAGTTAACATTTTTCCAGCCTGCATTTTACTATGAAATCCTCATTCCATTATTTTCTAGAGTTGCTACAGGGTCTAAATATGTGTGGCAATCGCCCTTCCAGCAGCATTGAAATAGTGTTAAGTGGTTGAATGGATAAAATGGGCAGGGCAGACACAATGCAGGTTTTAGCATGACCAAAGGGCTCAGTACATTAGAAAAGATTTACCAACTGCCTGTTGTAATCTGTTTTTTTTTTTTTTTTTTTTTAATTTAGGTAAATTTGGAAATAAACCTGGTCTGTTAAGCAATTCAACAACTTTTCTGTCTACTATCTCTACTGTGACTAAAGCAACCTGAATCATTCAAGTTTTGTAAGTAATTAGAAATAGCAATTTAAGACACAGTCATATGGGGTGCTGAGTGCACTTAACTTTTACTTGCTTCAGTGTGAGTTGGGAGTGCTCAGCCTCTCAGAGGATTAAGCTGTTACACACTAATCTTTCTCAATTGTCAGATACATTTTTTACAACAAATGTTTTGACCAGTTCCGGATAGGCATTTTCCAAATCTGAACCCTTGGGAGTGGGACCAATACTCAAAATAACAGATCAAACTAAGAGTCCAAGAGAATGAGAACCTTTAAATTACACAGGTTTACTACTTTAAAAATGTCCAGTTTCAGTTTAATAAATTGACATTGATGATATAATATATTATAATAAAAGTGAAGAATCATACATCTTTGCAAAATTACTATCAGTCTGAAAGTAAAAGGAGATGTTTGAGAGGGATGAGTATGGGTCATTTTCCACAGTTGCTGGTCTGGCTGTGACAGTAATTTGGAATATTTTTCCAGTTCTGTGATAGTGACTAAAGAGCAGTGAGTAGACAGCAGCCCAAACTGGGACTAAATAAAACAACCCTGGAAATTTTATTTATATAGAGGTGCCGAGAACCCACAGCTCCCACTGTCTTCAAAAGGACTTATGGGTGTTCAACACTTTTAAAATCAGACTTAGAACATCCAAGTTACAGTAAATAAGAGATAAGTATTTTGGGCAATGACCTAAGGCCACAACCCTGAAAACTCTTATATGAGTTGTCCGATTGACTTGTCTACAGGCTGGGAACTCAAATAGATAACATGCAGGCCAGACTGTGATTGTGCAATGAAGCACAATTTTAAAAAATATATTTTACTTTTAACCCTTGCCTGTTCTCCAGTTTGTTCTTTGACCCTCAGCAATTCACTTTTTAGATAGACAGTGGTTAAAGAACTTATCCCCCTTTTTATCTATCTAAATTCTGTTGCTAATTTCTGTGTTGTGGATGTTAGAAACTCAATACAATTTATAAACATTGAGAATAATGTAAGTCT